TGACTGTAAGCCAAATAGTCGTTTTGTCCTCTTGGAGTTGTGTAGAAAACCTGTTGCTCCTTTGCAGTTTCACTGGAGGAAGGTATTTACTTTTTTTAATGTCCTATAAAATATCTAACCCAGTTGTAATTCCCTGTGTATTTATCCAGGACCTTTTTTTCTCTCTTCTTCCATCTCTAAGAAAATCCATTGGGTGGGGAAGCTGTGCGTCAGTCTGCAAGACTTCTGCCCCAGCCGTGCAGGTGGAGCAAGGAAAGAGTCCCGCTTCTGCTGACCTCCTTTGCAGCAGCTTGCTCTCATCCTCCTGCGTAACCCGGGATTGGACTCGCTCAGTATCCTGGGAGGGAGCTTGTCAAGAAGGACTCAGTGTGCTGGGCAGCCAAGTGCAGCCACGTGGCCTGGTATTTTCAGGGCAGATCACGGCACGCCTGTAACGAATCCTGAGTTGATGGCAGCGGTCGCGCCGGTAGAGTTTGGGGCTCTCCTCACAAGAGCTGTGTGCGTAATGCCTCTGTCATTTCTGAGGGAGGAAGGCCGGCTGATGGAATCCTTTGGACTGCGTGCCTCTGGCACTGATGGTGAGCGGATGTCAGCGGTTCATGGGATGCGAACAGCCTGCGTGCTGGGCGTCTGCACAGGCACTGATAGGAGAAGCTGTGGGGCAGGGGTGTCAGCTAGAAAATGGTAGTCACGTCTGCTGATCTTACGTGCCAGAGCTATTCCTGCGTCTGGACATCCTACCCCTTTTGTCATCAGCAACTTCCCTTTTGTACATTCACGGTGATTTAATAACAGTTTGTGTTTCACCACACAGCGCTCTGCATGAACGCTTGCAGCCTCCCTGCAAAGCTGTCGTACGTTGAAGCTTTTGCATGTGAGTGTCTCTCTGTGTCTTTTCCGTTTCTTCTGCTTCTCTGCAGTTGGTTCTCTTGTGGAAACAAGGAACAGAGTCTGTTTTCAGCTCTGCAGAGCAGAAGAGCAGCTCTCAGGCTTTGTAAAAACTGGCACCACTGGGAGAACTTGACTGCTTGAACCTTCTGCTTGACTGTATGTGGAAGGCAAGTGCTTGTTACTTTTCCCTGTCCTCAGTTTGAGGTGGTGGCTTGGCTTTTTTCCTTCTCCAAAAGTCAGTAACGTAGCTGAAGAAAGTACAAGCTTTTCTGCACAAATTCGCCCTTGATCTTTAGTAGCGAACTGAGAACAACAAATTTGTTTAACGTAAAGTGCTCTGCCTAAAACTTTCTCAAATCCAAACAGGACTTATGGTAATGTGGGAGCAACTTAACTTCAGCACCGTGTGCCAACCATGGAAATGAAGGTAGGAGCGAGCTATATCCTGTAGGATTTTAGAGGGGAAAAAAGCAGGTGATAAAGTGGAACAGAAGAGGTTCCAGGTGGGGAGTCTCAGCCACCTGGAAATCAAACAGGTGTAACAGTGCGACCCAGCTTTGCTCATGTTCTGGTGAGGATGACTTGCTCTGAAGGTGGCTCAAGGCCGTCTTAAGTAATGAATGGTTTCATCTGACATAATTAGTGAAAGATGCGCCAAATTCTGTTCAAGAGTCTATGGGGTTGTGCACTGCATAGCACCTTGTCCGTGTGCCCATTAATCTCCAGGAACCTCAACCACGCAGAAGCTAGCTATCTAGTTTAAACCAGTCGGTTTGTCAGCTTCTGTAGGTTTCTCTATAGAAATCACTGTCACACAGAAGAGGTGGGATCAAGTTATCTGCCCCCTGAAGATGCATATTTATTTGCACTAACTTCACAGGGAGCCTAAGCAGTGCTAGCTCGGTCTTGGCTAGCTGACTGTTAGATGTGTGAGACGAGGTGGCATAAATTTGCCCTCACAGCAATAAGTAGTGAGGTGAGAGTTAAACTCACCATGGGGAAAGACAAAGATGGGAACGCATGCCCAAAAGCAGTCTGGGATTTGAGTGTGGTGAGCACCTCTCTCGTGTTGGTAACTCTAAAAGCAGGGGTTGCTTTGGTTTGCTATTTGTCACAGCGATGATCTCTGTAGCACCATGCAGGGCACTGCCTGCTCTGCACAATATGAGGAGTTGGACTCCATGCGCACAACCAGGGGTTGCAACCAAGA